CAGCATATCTGACTGTGCAGTGGCCAGACTCCACACTCACCCACACACCCCTCGCTGCTCCACGCCTGACTCCCATCTCCCTTGGAGGCTTATCACCTAGGCCAGTACCATGAGCTGAGTGAAGGCTGCAAGGCTGAGTGAGTGGAACGATAGGAAAACTCTGGCAAAGGTGCCACTGGCCACAAATTTCTGGCCAGAAAAGTGACACCCCAAAGATCCCGTAACAGTAAGATACCAGAAATAAATCTTCGCATTGATGGTCAACTGGTCTTCAACAGGGTGCCAAGACAATTCACTGGAGGAAAAGCAGTCTTCAACAAACGGTGAAGAAACAATTGGATATTCATATGCAAAAGAATAAAGTTGGACCCCTACCTCACATGATATATAAAAATTAACTCAAAATTTATCTAAGAAATAAATGTGAGAGCTAAACCTATAAAATTTTTAGACAATAACTCAAAATATATCTAAGAGATAAATGTAAGAGCTAAACCTATAAAACTTTTAGAAGAAAATGTCGGAATAAATCTTCGTGAGTTTGAATTATGCAAAAATATGACATCAGAAGCAAAAAAAATAAACTGGACATCATCAAATTTTAAAGCTTTGTGCTTAAAGGAAACACCTCACAGAATGGGGGAAAAACTGTAAATCATACATCTGAAAAGAGACTGCATCTAAAATATGCAGAATTACTATCAATCAATTATAGAAGGACAAAGAATCTAATTAAAAGTAGACAAATTATCTGAATGTACATTTCTCCAAAGAAAATATATAGTCAATAAGCTTATGAAGATACTCAACATCATTTGCCATCAAGCAAATGTAACTCAAAACCAAAATGAGGTAGCACTTCATACCCATTAGAATATCTATCATCAAAAAGAAATATAATAACTAGTGTTGACAAGGATGTGCAAAAATTGAAACCCTGAAACACTGCTGCTTAGAATATAAAACAGTGTAGTTACTTTAGAAAAGTCTGGCAGTTCCTCAAACACTTAAACAGAGTTTCCATCTGATCCAGCAATTCCACTCCTAGTCATATACCCAAGGGAATAAAAACGTCCACAAAATAGCTTGTACATGAATGTTCATAGCAGCATTATTCATAAAGCCAAGAGTGGAAACGATTCAAATGTCCACCAACTGATTAATAATATCTATGATGTATTATATACAAACAATGCAACATTATTCTGCAATAAAAAGAAGTGAACTACTGATACAAGCTACAATATGAATGAACCTTGGAAGCATTATTCTAAATTAGAGAAACCAGTCAAAAAGGAACACACAGTGTGATTTCACCTATATGAAATAACCAAACTAGGCAAATCTACAGAGATAGAAAGTAGATTAGTAGTTGCCTAAGGCAAGGCAGCTTATGGGGAAATGGTGGGTGACAGCCAAAAGATAAGGAATTTCTTTTGGGTTTCTCAAATTGATTGTGGTGATGGATGCACAATTCTGTGATTACACTAAAAGCTACTGAATTATAAATATAAAAAATTATCTAGGAATCTAATCATGCCCATTATATCCCAAGTATTTCAAATACTTATTTCATTTATCTTCATCATTAGTAATACAGAATCACATAAGGGAGAAACACAAAAGGAACCCGCATGTCTAACTTTGAAGCCAACAATCACAACTACACACCTGGATCTTCTGCTATTGAATAAAGAAAAGCCCCAAACCCTTGGTCAACTTATACACCTGGTCAAATGTCTATGTCAAATTTCTACAAGGGCAGTTTGCTCCTCTAGATACTGTTATCCTGGTAAATAATAAAAGGAAACTGAAAATCATGAAAGATTCTCACTTATTGCAGATGTGAACATTAGGCAGGGGGAGGAGCATTATGATAATTAGCCTAATTTCTAAATATATACCATTATATATTTCTATTTTCTTGCATTCCAGGTCTCCTTAACCAGATCTTCTATGCTTGAGTAGAAACCAGGTTTTCTGTATTACCCATAGCCAATGCATTACTAATCCACAGTCTTTCATACCTTACCTTGATCAGATTACACAAACACAGAACGGGGCACCATAAAGTCCAGAGGGAGAGGGGCTCTAATATCTACCTCTTCATATTTGTTTTGTTTAGCAGTCAAGAGCTGAGGTTTTTCACACTTGTCTTTCATGGTGCCTGCTTGGCCCTGTTCTAAGTGTACCTTCCTTCCTTTCATTTCTACTCTAAAGCTTCATTTTCACTGCTGCTTCCAAATTTGTCTAGGTCTCTCCTTCTGCTTTATGCTCCTCAGATAAATTTTTCTTCTGAGGATGCAAGAATCAAGGGTGCTGTAGACCCATATGGATTTGCCGCCAGTAACGTATTTTGGTGGCATGTGACTCAGATACCCTCCACTGTCAGCATATTTTGGTGCTGTGTGACTCAGATAAGTTCCCTAGTGGTAAAAGGCTGCTATACCTCGCCTTCTTGGGCTAAAAAGGCATTCAACCAATGTGCACAGTTTTCTTCTTTCTTCTCTTTTTTTTTATTTTTATTTTATTTATTTATTTATTTATTTAGATGGAGTTTCCCTCTTGTTGCCTAGGCTGGAGTGTAATGGTGTAACCTTGGCTCACTGCAACCTCAGCCTCCTGAGTTCAAGGGATACTCTTCCTCAGCCTCCCAAGTAGCTGGGACTACAGGCACACACCACCACACCTGGTTAATTTTCGTATTTTTAGTGAAGACGGAGTTTCAACACATTGGTCAGGCTGGTCTCAAACTCCTGACCTCAGGTGATCAGCCCTTCTTGGCCTCCCAAAGTGCTGGGATTACAGGCATGAGCCACCACACCCAGTCTCTTCTCCCTTTCTCAAAAAAAAAAGAAAGAAAGAAAGAAAGAAAGAAAGAAAGAAAGAAAGAAAGAAAAAGAAGTAGTTTTTCTATTACAATTAAAAATGATCAAATGACTCTCCATTCAATCATCCTTGGTTTCTATTAGAAACCTACTAGGGATATAAAAGGAAGCAGCCTCAGATGGCAACACAGAAGTTTTTTTAAAACCTTTCCTATTAAAAAAAAAAAAAATCCAAAAGAGAAACCCAGCAAATAAGTTTCAAAACACACTTAGAGAAGGAGAATAAATGTCCGTGCATTAAGGAATGGCTACCCACCATGCACACCATGCACTATCCTTTTTCATTCTTACAGCAACCCGGGAAAATAGATTATGATGCACATTTTATAGGCAAGGAAATTGAGGTTCCAAGACATTGTAGAGCTGATGTCACAAAGCTAGAACTGGAACTCCAGCCTCCATCAGTCTGACTCTGAAGATCTACCTCCTACTTTGGGCATTTGTATAATCCTCATGCCAAAGAGACACTCACACCCAACCCCACAAAGCCAATGGGGCAAGGTAGGGTTGTGAAGCTGAGACTTGCCTTGACATGCAACGCTTGGAAAATGATAACCTATACCTTCTCCAGCATACAGGACACCTTTGAACAAACACATATCTCTCACAGACATGTACATCACCTTCTTTTCTCTGGGCTGAACCAGAACAGCCAGACTGTAATGCTGACAACAGTCTCCACAAAATGATCAGGGTCCATCCCCACACTTAGAGGCTGAGAGCAAACAACCATTAAAGACAGAACTGTTGATCCTTATAACTGCCAAAAGTCTGCATACCAAGAGCCTCTGCTCAAGCCAAACTCGTCTGTTTGCTGCCCCCACTCCCAAAATTGCATTTCTCTACATTTCTTCACTTCTGTGACTGTGCACATTGTTCCTTCTTCCCTTACCTGCTGGAATTCTGCCTGTGCTTCAAGAGCATTCTCTGTGTGGTCTTCCTTAACCACTAACCTAATGCACTTAATTCAGTGAACTTAACACCTTAGGTAATTTTGAAATCAGCTTCATACTTCCTTGTAACACCAATCTACTATTTCTTTATTATTGGCTCTTTTTTATTCTTTAGCTTTTTGTGTGGTCATGCCTTGTTTCCTGTACTGCCAAACTCCACCATATGTCCTTAGAAGATTTTGTTGCTTTGATTTCTCCACAAAACCTTGCATGGCACCTAGAAAACCGTAGGTGCTTCATGAATATTTTCACTGGATTAATATCGAGGAAGCCAGTTTTAAAAATTAAATTGTTTAGGTTACCTAATGATTATTAATTTGAATTCAATGATAGAGTGAACTCAAACTTCAAACCCATTGCCTAGGGACTTTAGTCCAAGTTTTTAACATGACATTGAAGCTTTGCAATGATCTGGCTTCTACCTACCTCTATAATATCACCCCTCACTGCCCACCCCAAACTCTCATCCCTTCCCCATACACACTTTTATGTTCTAACCACGTACTCATCCATGTGTTGCTTCTTAAAATCATAGCAACCTCTTTCTGAAATACTATTCTTCCATCCCTTACTCCTTAGCATTCAGCATGTAAAATATTCACTCATGTTTTTTTTTCTTATACAACTATCATCTTTTCCAAAGCCTTTCTTGGCTAGTACAACCCTTAATAGAATGACTACTCTTATTTCCTGATTACAACTTTCTAGCATTGCATCTAGAATACTTTATGATATGTATTTGTCTGTCTTCCCTACTAGCTTATGTGATCTTTACAATGAAAATCCTACACTATTCAACTTAATATTCCCAGTGTCAAGTATAATTCCCACATAAACACACCGTAAATGTTTATTGAAGGTCATTAAACATAACCAATTAACTTGCTCGATGACTAAATATGATAGAATGTGATATTATTCAAGGTCTACCAGAAGATAGTTGAGAAAGATACTCATGATTGGTCCTTGGAGAGCAAACAAAAAAGCCACTTTGCCCAAAGTAAATTCTTAAGGCAAAGTAAATTCACAAATGTGTTCAACGAAACAAGGCCTCAGTTAGGTGAATGTTTTCATGGGGCTACAAACTCTAAATTCGAAGACATTTTGTATAACCCATTAACTCTAAGAAGATTTCCAAAAGCAGAAAGAGCTTTCTTACCTGTGCTCCAGTTCTCTAATGGACAGTATCACTCCTGAAGTGGATGGCTTCTGCTGTACAGTGGCCAAAAAGGTGAATTCACTCTTGTTCCGGAACAGCTGAATTAATTTCTCACTCACATGAGGAGCTGCATGGATCTCTCTTTCTATATCTAAGAATCAAGAGGAAGAGCAGGAAAAATAGGAGAGAAGGAAAGGAGATGAGGAAAGAAAAGGATAGAGAAGTAGTACAGGAGAAAGAGGAGAGAGGAGATGAGAAGGAAGAGGAGAAAAGATCCATGGTTAAAAACGTTATGTCCAAAAAACCTAGATTGCATTTTTCATTTTTCTCTCCTGTCAATAGTTTTCATTTTCAGGCACCTTTGACCACTCCCTACAGCTGCATTCATTCAATGCAAATCCCAGAAATGCTATCTCTGTCACTGCACCCACTTGTCACTTTGAGAAGTTCACAATTGGCCTAACAGTGATTTTCTGACAGGAATTTTGACGGGACACTGAGCAATTCAGTTTTCTGCAAACAGGTTAGGTTGCTGTAAATAAAGTAAGAGGCAGTCAGATAAATGGGGTTCTAAACTCAGAGAATCTTTGGATAATAAGACCCAAATGCCACTCAGCATCCTACAATTTCATTTTTTCCAGGGACTCAGCTTCCTTCTCCCCACAATGTATATGGGAAACCTGTCCTTGCCTTGTAACTAGCAGATATTCACTAGCACTAATAATGCCAGACAACTCTGCCTTTGCTTAAAGAATAAATACAAGGCATGCTCATGATCCACACGTGTGCCTGGAATTTCTCCATAAACATGCAATGGATGACTTTCCTCATGAAATATTTATTGAAATCAAGGCCGATTCAGCAGGCCTAGAGGTGTGTGATTCCAGATAATCCTGCTCCTGGACAAGAATGTTTCTTTCTCCAACATCGGCATAATGAGAGACATCCATCACTTCATGCCCAGACTCACCCTTGTCATGATAAACTGGGTGTTATCTCATTATTTTACACTACATTTTCTGGCATCAGAAAAGGGCACTAAGGAAGCAAGGTTAGAGAAGATTATTCAGAGGATGATAAATGAACATTAAAAGTGTGTTTGGTGGCCTCTCACATCCTGACCACCTCCTCTGAGTGTATGATAACTACTTGGTTATTTCTCCAGGACTGCAAGGGAAATCCTTGAAAAACACAGAACTTCAAAGGCTGCACTGCCCAAGCAACTTCACAGACCGGCATATGGACCTTGGAGAATCTCATCCTCAACAGCGGCTTCTAAATAAGGTATCTTTAGATTACTGACCTTGGTACTTAATCTTCTCAACTGTAAAATGGGGGAGCAGACTAGATCTCTTAGAGCCTTCCCACCTTAGCCTTCTATAATTTTTTGAATTGCTGCTTCAATTTTATAACACAGAAAAGAACAGCATAGTCTTATCCACCTGTAAATATCTAGGCTATGAATGGCAGAAAGCAATGTTTTTTCTCTACCATGGAGACATCCAACCCAGGCAGACCAGTCTACCAGTATAAAACCTACCTGCACAATAGTAGCAAGGCCTTCACTACTTAATTGTTAAGTGGCACGCTGTCAGCTTTTGTCAAGTGTTGACGTAATAGATAGCCACTTGAAAAATACTTCCATACCTTCTACAAAATCCCAGCCAAAGATAATCCAGATGACATTTAAAATCTACTAAATGTGGGAGCAAATCACTCTGTAAACTAGAGAGTATTAGAAAATGTTTGTTAATATTATTTTTATTATGATTACTTCTTTTGTGGGGGGGGGGGGGTGGTCCTTACTCTGTCACCAGGTTGAAGTGCAGTGGCATGATCTCAGTTCACTGCGCCTCTGCCTCCCAGGCTCAAGCGATCTCTCATTTCAGCCTCCTGAGAAGTTGGAACCAAAGGTGTCTGCTACCATTTCCAGCTATTTTATTTTTATTTTTGGTAGAGACAGAGTATCCCCATGTTGCCCAGGCTGGTCTTGAACTCCTAAGCTCAGGAGATCCATCCACCTTGGCCTTCCAAAGTGCTGGGATTACAAGTGTGAGCCACCCACCCTATTATCATTACTTCTAAGCAAAGATCATCTTAAACTCACCTAGAATATAATGCCAGAAAGAAAAAAATCAACTCTTAACATTAAGTTTACTTTTTACTTTTTCCTTCTTTACTCATCAATTAGGAATCAACTGATTGGTAGTGGCTGCCTAAAGAGTTCATTTCAGGATTCTAAAGCTTGAACCCAAAGGAAAGAGGAACGTAATTGATCAGCAGTGCATGCTGGAGGAAATGGATATGAGTATCATATCAGGTATGGGTATCCTAATCTCTAACTCAATTCTCCCTAAGTGGTATCATCCAGCCCCATGGCCAACAGTGTCCAACTTTATAACTGCAGCCTTAACCTCTCCCTTAAGCAGTAAATTCAAATGTTCACCTTCCTACTTACGATTAACATCTCTATGTGAATATCTAATAAGCATTCTAAATTGCAATGTGCCCACAGTAAAGCTTGTTCTCTTCCCTCCACTCTCGGTTTTCTTACAGAGGTCTCAGTCTTAGTAAATGGCAACACCCCGTTCCTCAAGTCAAAAAACCAGAAATTGTCCTTGATTTTTCCCTTTTTTGCACTCTCCATATTCAATCTAAAAACAAGTCAGGTGGGCTCCCATGTTTGGAATTTGTTCCCCTCTTCCCAACTTCACTCTTAAAACTCTTGTCCAAGCCATGATCATCGCTCCCTACGATGCTTCCAATGGTTTCCTAATGAGTTTTCCTGCTTCCATATTGCCTTCTTTTCCCCATGCTTCACACAGCAGTTAATGTGCTCTGTTTAAAGTGCAAGTCCAAGTTATTTTAGCTTTCTACTTAAAATCCTCCAATGGCTTTGCAATGCTCATAGGATAAAATCCAGTCCCTACAGCATGCCTGCAAAATTGCACACAAACTGATTTTTGCCTACCTCTCTCACCCCATTCACACTCTTCTCCTTGGTCACTAGAGGAACACACCAGGCCCATTCCTGCCTCAGATCTTCATGCTTGTCCCTCTGCTCATCTGCTCATAGTGCTCTTCTCTCTCCTTTTCATGTGCCTGACTCCTTCTCCTTCAGCTTTCACTGTAAATGCAATCTTCTGGCCACTCCAAGGCAAGCTCTGCATTAATGTCACTCTAATGCTCCAGTCTGGGTATTTTCTCCATTTGACTTGTCATAATATATGTATTGCAATCCATTTATTATTTGTTGATATCATTTATCACAGTCTTGTTTCAAGTTTGTTACCTCATATTATTTCCTTTCTTTTTCCACTAGACTGTAAGTTCCATTGAGGGTAGGCATATTAATTTATCTATTGTTTTATCCACAGTTCTCAGTGCCTGGCACAAAACAGGCATCCAATAAAGATTTATTGAATTAATGTATTTTCCATTTATTTTTCTCATTTATATTAATGCTTCAAGTAACTACATATGTTATGGTCAGAAAATAATATATCTTTTGGAAAAAACAGAAGATAATGGGTCCTTCTCAAATGCTCATGGCCATGAAAATTTATTTCAATGATTTTTGGTGCTAAATAAGCCTCACTTCTTTGTAGGACACCCCCTATTTAATAATCTGATCTAGTACTACCATATTTCTCACTCAACCCTCCAAGAAAATGGAACATTTCTTATGCTGGCTTTTCTTATTTGTTTTTATAAATGATTGGCACACTGAAGTAAAGTGACTCCATTAGCACTAACTAGACTGAAATGTAAGGAACATCTGTTTTGATACATTGAGGCTTTATGTGCATTCTCATCTTCAGAGAAGCCCTTTAAAGTAAACTTTGACCATACTTTAAATGTTTAAAAAATACAACGAAGTAGTTCTATTTCTACAGTATGTAGGCTGAAACACTGGACAGGTTTCATAGGACTGAGATCACTCTGAGTTTTGCAGATAACTACCTGTGTCACTTTAGATAAAATACCTTACCTCTCTGAACCTCACACTCTACATCTGAAAATTAAGACTACTGAATTCCATGATCCCAAATTCTTTCCTAGTCTTGACATTTCATTTCAGTTAATCACCTGATTCTGCTCATATGTGCATAGCAAAAGAGAGTACTGAGGGCAAATTCCATCTATTAAAAAAACCTAGATTCTACAATTTTTCTCCTCTGCTGATTTTCCAAATTAACATAAAACATAAAGTTGTCAACTGCTAAAAATAGTGATATGTCACCTACTTTGCAGCAGCCTGCTTTTTTCCTGGAGTTAAAAGAGCAACCAATGAAACCCAATTAATGGGGAACTATAGTGAATATTGTACTTCCATATTCAACCACCATCATATGTGTTTGCTGTATTACTTAAGAATATGCCATTCCACTAGAGAGAACAAGAAAAACAAATGGGACAGATAAAGCCCAAAAGAAGTGTTAAATATAGAGAGCAAGTTAAAAACCTGTGAAATGTGCTAAACACAGATCAAATAAGTGGAACATAAGTGTGTTGAATACCAATAAAAAGGATTGAATAAGAGTATTACTTACAAATAGAATGGGATGGAAGGACCAAGTCATAATGTGCAAATCATGTCACCTGCAGAATGATAGTCATGTCGCCCCTAAACCAACACCCATCATTGACATCCATTTCATATCCATTCTGGCCTCACATGTACTCTCCTTGGGAAACGCTAATAAAACCCATCACTGCTTACCAAATTAAATGGCGAATTACACCTGTAGCCAGGATTACTTGCTCCTGAGTATTTCCAACAGAGGAAGCACGTGGGCTCCAGAAACCTCCCATTTGCTGAACCCCCTCCCTTTTTGTTAACTTCGGCTCTAGTCCTCATAATCACACCATCATCAAAGAAGCTGATGCAGCAGAGAGAGAAAAAAAAAAACAACAGACCATATGAGCAATGAATAACACGGGAACTGGGTGGGCTGGTGCTTCCTGCTGCTCACACCCAATCCTACATGTGTTAACTTACTCCATCTCTTTCCCCTGCCTCCTCCTAGATATTTTAAACATGATTCAAGTATTTGAATTTAGTCTGTCTATGAGGTTTTCCATTTTGTGACCTCTGGGGGTGTGGAGGCTACCATTGTATAAAGGTAGTTTCCCACCAACAACTACTTA